CCGTCGCGGAGGAAGGCTTGTCCTACGAAGCAGTGGGAGGACAAGCGGAGCGTCCCCCCCTATCCTTTGCAACGGCGGCGGTTTGCAAAATTCGCATCTGATTGAACAGCATTAATATTTGCGTTTTTGGTGGTCACCCTGAACCTCCCTTAACATAAAAGAAAAGAAAGGAACATGAAAGATTAAACAAAATGAATGAATATGAAGTGGTTCCAGTTCTTGGTTTTTTGTGGTCTTTCATCATTATTACTTTATCTAGGATTTCATATTCCCTTTTGTTGATTCTTAAGTTTACAGCCATTATTTTATTGGTTCCTATTATATATATATATATATCTTAATCTATTTGTGGTCTCTTACAATTTTTTGCCAAACAGTCCAACCGTTTTCTTGGAGTACTTCTTGGCTTATACCCTTCATGTGTGTTTATTGTTTTTAATGGCGTTCTCTTATTGTAAAGGGTATATCTTGGAATTAAACATATTTATTACATGTTATCTACCATCCCCTTATGTTCATGATAGCAAAGTAACAGTGTGGCTCGAAGGTCCGGGAGGAATTCAACCGACCAAACGATCGGGCCGGTGACCGCGAACAATTGAATGCTCAAGTGAACATGGTCGACATGTCAGTCACCGGGTGCCCATTTGACTTTGACTTGGATGAATGTCCAAATCTGCACAGGGCCAGGCTCTTTTCACTTGACCCTTTTGTGACAAGGCTCGCTTGCTGGCGCTGCAGGTTTTCCCTGTAGAAGTCCTCTGGCATGATCCTCTCACCTGGGTCATTCTGAATATATAATTAGGTGCTACGAGTACCCTATGGTAAGCACCTCACCCACAAAAGCCCTGCACTTCGCATTTGCACAAGTTATTAACACACAAATCCTGAAAAGTATTTCAAACACTTGCTGCTTCAAAAGGAACATGGTTTTCGGGCTATGAAGCATGCGTGTTTTCAGTGCACACCTTGCAATGGAGTGGTGTGTTTTTTTTTGGCATGCTCTTTTGTTATCAATAACAGGTCTTTTGCAAAACATAGTATATGGTATATGTTCACAAAATGGCATGATAATGATACACAAACGTGACGCAGGTGTGTCGGCCAAACATGACGTGGCCTTTGTAGTCACTGAGTCATGGCTAGAAAGCCACACAAAAACAAAGGTGCTCGGATCCAAACCCGTAATTACCAGTACCACATGTCAGGATGAGAGCAACAAACATACTTTCTTCATCTCAATTGGCAGTTTCCAACAGCAACTTCAACACATGTCGGGCCGGGTGCCTATACCGCCTCTACCACTCCCGTTCTTGAGTCAAGTTCTTGAGACTTCTGTGACGTGATCAGGGGAGGATCCCCCGGCCAAATGAATGGAATAAAACGTCCAGGGAAAAACCGCTCATCCTCATCCAGCCCCAGGGGGGTGGACCGCCTAGGGTATCCCTTGCTAGGTAAGGCCTATAGAGCCACTGGTAAGGCCGTATACTAGGTAAGGATGATCCTGTCTGAGGTTAGTACCCACAGTTCTCGGCTGACCTCCCCCACCAAGCCCACTCCCCCTTTCCTAACAATATCAAATCCCTTTCAGTCGAATCCATTTTGTCGCCTCTTCCCACCGATTTCGACACTCTCTCCCCAGCCACGGCCGTGCTTCCGGCGCCGCAACAGGTGCTCCATCCGCTTCTGGCGCTCAAGCTGTGAGGCCGGCGCAGGTGGGGCAAAGGCTTCCCTGGAAAAACGGACGGCAGTAGAGCTCCGACGGCCTGGATGGGATTGGGTTTACCATGCTTGACCTACCTGGAACAACTCAGTATGCTCGATTTTTTGGTCCTTTTACCTTTTCACTGTCCTTCTCCAACAATCTGGTTGTGCACATCTTGACCTCGATTCATGTAAAGCTGTCGTGAAACGAAGCTTCTTGGTGGCAGCGAGACATGCCTTGCCTTGAGGGGCCCGTCTGGAGTCGAGCTTGGTTGCATCACCAAGCTGAACATTACAAAGGGTAGCAAGTCCTTCTGCAAAGTCGTGTAGTTCCTTGCCAACCATACGTACGCCGCCATCGTTGGACGACAGAAATCAAACTGTTCGAGTTGCAAAGCACACATGACATGACCATGTGACAGATCCCGTCCATCCATTTACATGATCAATCTCATTCTGGCGACCTTTGGGCATCCACCCACCCAACCACCAGCTCAAAGTTGCGCCACACCTAATTAGTACTGTCTCCGGAAAAACAACGCCCTCCATCCCAAGCATCCCAAGTGTTGTCTCCTGCCTGTGGATGGCTGCCCAGTGGTGCGCGCCCGTGACATCGGCTCCATCCACGTCGGCTTGGTCGGCGTCAACTCCGTCGTTCTCGTTCCTGGAGCGAATCACCAGGCCTTGGTGGGATAAGGGAAGAACAGAACGCCGCGGGGGGCGGTCAGCAAACCGGAGCTGGTCATACCAAATGAATTGTTGACAATATTTATATAATATATATTCAAGTCCAGTTGCTTCTAGGTCCTTTCCAATTGGTATCTGGGTCTAGAGTATGAGGAGGATTCATGAGGGTTGATTCACTTCTCGCTGCCGGCCGCTGCATCTTTTTGACCAAAGTGGTGGCGGCGGTCTTTGCCTGCGACACTTGGATGCATCAGTGCCCAACATCCAAGTTTAGCTGATACCCCCAAACTGCCGCCCTAGCGTTCGGTCAGAAACTTCCCAAGAGCAGGATGGTCATGGTCAGCCGTGGTCATGATCCACCTCACAGTGAACTCAAATATTGGCTGAACGGAACCTGATGAACATATGAGATATGAGAAACTGTGAGAGATCTCTTGCATCGAGCTACTCAAGCACACTAAATTGCCACCGGGTAGCTGGGCACGCTGTTTGTTAGCATAGTGACGGATCGCATCACCCTCCAAGCCATCCTTTTTTGCCTTCTTCCAAGCAGTAGAGTAGACCTCACATGTGGCTGAAGCCGGTTGAAAAAAAACAAATGGGTGTGAGAAAGCGTGGGAGAAGGAGACTCACTTTTTGCTCAGCAAAGGATAGACAAAGAATTTATAATAAGAATATGCAAACAGCATATCCTGCATCCAAATCACTGAATGAGCTTTCTTCACCAGGCGCTTTGCCTTTGCGGCCTCATCCTCGAACTCATCCTGTTTTAGATCTGCTGCTGCTGCTGCTGCTTTTGCTGCTGTGGAGGTATTGGATCGTCGACGGGATGCCATTGCCTTCGCACTTGGCTTGCCCTTAGGCGCAGCCTTTCTCTTGGATGATCCGCTTGACTGTTCAAATTCCACTGCCTTCGGTGCCACCTTGCCACGCTTGGAATGCTTGGCATGCTTACGATGCTCGCAGGCCTTCTTGGCTGCCCTCAAAATCGTCAATCTGTGGGAGAGAGGTGAGAGGACCTGACAGTTCTTCCCCTTAACCTTAGAGGCTGTCCCCCTCTTCTTCTTCTTGCCGGATCGCTTTTCAAGGATCTTTGCAATCCTATCAGCCTCTTCAGGGAGCTCGCCTGCCTGAAACCTAGGGCAAGGAGTGGAGCCCTTCAGGATTCCCACCAGAGTGGAGTACTTCCTTGCCAAATTCTTTGAAGTGACAGGTGCAGTCAGGATCTCCTGAGCTGCGTCCATCTCTTTCTTGGAAGCAGAGGCTTCCTGAGCTTCCATAGGGGTTCCATTCAAAGCCTCAGGAGTTTCAGCCGCTGATTCCTGGAAGAGTCCGTCAGAGTCATTTCCAGCGGTTGCTTCAGCCACTGGTGGGTGCTGATTCTGGCTTGGATGATGTTCATCATCGCCACCATTTCCACTGGAAGCCTCATCAATTTCAACTATTGGTTCCTGCGCACTCTCTTCGATGTGTTCTGGATGGTACTCAGCACCAGCGGGCCCCTGTGAAGTCCCACAAATTTCTGCCGCTGGTTCCTGCGTGCTTTCATGAGTGGTGTTTGGGTGGATGAATGGCTCAAGAAGGCTGAGACAATCGGTAATGGCATCATGGGTTTTCTGCACTTGTTCTCGTGTGACCCACCCTTCCTCAGACTTGACGGAGGCATCAGGTGCTGCTTCAGAATCCGGAAGTTCCAAAGTCTCCTCCTCCACCGGCTGATAGGGGTCCTGGGCGAAGACAAAGACTCTAAAGTCAGCAAGGCAAAACTTGTTTAAAGAGAGATAGAGGGTCACAGAGAGAGAGAGAGAGAGAGAGAGAGAGAGAGACAGACATAGAGAGAAAGAGAGGCAAGAGTGTCTCGTGGCCTTTCTTTAAAACACATGACGTGTGAATACTGGACCCCAGCCTCAGCAATGTTTTGCGGAGTCTGCGTGTCAGCATCCGGTAGCGTCTCCTCGGTCACGGAAGAAAATGTTTCCAATCCCCCCCACTCAATTTCAAAAATGTTGTTGACATGTTGTTGACCTTCATAGTTAAACCAGCATGGCTCGATATATGTCATGGGTATCTGGCGGCCAAGTCTCAGGAACACTTGGCGCAGATGGGCTGCCATTCAGTCCAGATCTGTCATCGAGGCCTGCCTTCAGCGGTTGGGGAAACCAGGGAGTGAAACGAGGGAGGCGGCAGTGAGCTGGAAACACATCAGGAATTGTCAGCTGGAATATGGCCAAGATCAGAATTACAATTCATCCAAGCTTCCTGGAAAGATTTCATGGCCGATTCAGGGGTCGGCAATCCCAATTGGTTGTCTGGCCAATCGAGAGATTCTGACTTGGGCCTTGGCGCATCAGGTGTGGATTTCATTGGTTGCTAGCCTTGCCATTCACAATTCAATACTAAAAACAATATGCATAAGCCAGTCATAATAAAGCGGTTCACGCCAAGAAACATCTTAGCAGGTGTTTGTATGACGTTCTGTGCTTGTTCACCTTCTTGCTGGTCTTCCTGGATCAGTGCTTAGAACAGGTGATCCCTCACGCAATCAGTTTTGGTTAATTACAGCACACAAACTGACGGCCATTATTCACAAGTGGTTGATGGCAACTCAATCAGTCCTTTGCCTTCTTCTTACTGCGGGTAGATGGCTTTCTCTTCGCTGCAGCTTTGGAAGCTGTAGCAGGTTTCTTGTAGGATTTCGAGGATTTCAAGTCCTTTGGGACATGATCATCTCCCCTACTACCACCATCGCCATCAGAACCATTGTCATCCTGATCATCATCATGACCCCCCAGTGGCTCAGGCTCAGATTCCCCTTCCTCTTGATCATCCTTATTCTGGTTGGCTTTTCGTTTGGCTGATTTGGATGGTTTTTTCATGACCTGTGCAGCACCCCCACCATTGGCAGATGATGACTCAGAGGCTGCAACGCGGCCAGGTAGAGCATGATGACTGCCACTGGCCTTTGGACCTCCCGGGAAAGAACCATCATCATTTGTGCAACCCTGATCTATCCACGCCTCCCAGGGGCACAAAGCTGCTGCGCGAAGCAGAGACAGGTGGCTGGGAAGAGGGCGGGCGATGTGGAGTTTCCAAATTGGCGGAAGACATCATCCGCTGCATATTGAAAGCCTCAACCAGTACAGCGTTGTTTATGATGGATGTTTTCGCAAAATCCTGAGTCCAAATAAACGGATTGCAAACTGATAGCACTTCTTTTGACAACACGACTTGGGATTGCGAAGTGTGAAGTTACGTTTAGACACTTGCAAAAAACACGTGGTTCAACTAAATTCTTGGCAAAGGACCGGTGGTCGAAAAGTCGAGGTCAACGGCACTTCTTGAACGGACTCAGCATCACTGTTCTCATTGTCATGGGACCTATTTGCCATGGCCCCACAATTGCAAAATCCTTTCTTTCACGGCTAACTGAGCAAAATGCCTGAAAAAGGCAAGGAGCGCATGTAGCTGCTAAGTCATCAGTATGTGTTCAGCAAGACTTGATTAGGGTCATAGTTATAGTGAAAGCTAAAGAAAGAACATTGACTATGAGTGTACACCGGGAGTGCATGGCGTTTTGTGTTTCTCCACCTGACCCTCGCAAGGGTTCAAATCATTCGCTGCTACTGAACTTGCCAGGAGCTCGGTCTGAAGGATGCAAGATCGACATCACGGTGCAGGAGAGAGTGATTCAACCGGTTGTCAGTTCTTACTTACGATGACGTATGCATGACTAAGCTCCATCAAGCTGATCGTGTTCATGGGAGACTAGGCACTACACTCAGGTTGAGTGATTCCCAGTCTTGTCAAAATCAAGATTCATCGGACCACCCCCTCTTTCCCACAAACATGGAATTCCAATTTATACAGTTTCTGGGATTCAATCATGAATGACCAAAACTCTTGAAACAGAGATAGGGTGACCCAAACTCTTCAATCTACCTACACCAAGCGAATGACACCTTCATTCACATCGACCTGTGACGCCAAGCATAGGACAGGTCGGATGGGGGTGATGACCTTGACGCCGTTCGTGTTGCTGCTATCCAACCTTCGCTCCGCTTGGCTGGGTGGAATGTGTTATCAAAAAACATGGCCGATCGGCCCATCGGGTGCCGGAAGCTGTTTGAAGTAATGTGGAGTGATAGAAACAGTGAAACAGTGCGACGTTAATACAAGAAACCGGCATCTCCAAGCGATTCTGACTGTGTCCGAAGCGGTCTTCAATTTCGAGACTGAAAGAAAAGAACCAAAGTTCTTGGCGGTCAGCTGGGTCCCTTTGGCTCCCTTCTTGCCTTTCTTTTTAGATACCGAGATGATGTCCTGGGGCGGCTCGTCCAAGCAAAACACCAAAGGCTTCGAAGATGTGAAGGTTCCGCTTTCCTCTTTGTGGTGAGATAGCTCAAGCTTCACCTAAGCCACAATCAAGCAGGCTTTTGATCTAAGTAAGGGGTATCGGCGGTATCGGAATGAGTGAATTCATGGTGTCATATATAACAAAGTGAAGTTCATAGTAAATCTGACAAAGGAACCTCTCCAGCGTCCTGTAGATCACAGATCAAGCTCTGTAGGGTCACTGCGGTGTCTACACATTCCAGCTTGGCCAAATGGTTGGCGAGATCCTTCCGCTCCAGAACAAAGAAAGTCTCTGCAGCGGAAACTGTGAAGGAGAACCATCTCCCTTCAGCATTGGCCAAGACCTCGTCCGCTTCCTTAGATTGGGGGTGGAGATGGTGGAGAACAGGGATTGGAAGAACAGAGCAATCGCCAGGACTGAGATCTTTCACATGATACCAACTCCAATGAGGAGTGGTAGAGGTTGAAGACTGCAACTTGTTCAGTAAAGAGGCCGCTGCGTCTCTCCACTCGCCCCCACCAAAGGAGCACCTGAGTTGGGATGTTGGGGAAAGGCGGGAAAGCCTCAACTGGGTCACTCAAGGTTCATCAAGGTTCCTTCGGATTCCTGGACATCACACACTTCATTGCAAATGAGGCACAGTTCCCTGTTCTCAAAGAATTGATTCCGTGATCGAGACGAAATGAAAAGTGAGTCCCCAGACTCACCAGCCAGAATCAGGTCACAGGCATTGTTGATGGACAGCTTCATCCTAGCAGGAGCAGATTTGAACACAGCATGTGTGTAAAGGCATTCTCATGCTAGTTTACCAACTGATGATCATGGTTGAGGCCAATCCCAAACGCACGAAGAATGACACACTAGACCCTGTGAATGCTAAGCGAATAATTAAGGTCCCTGATCGATCTTGGCTACTAGATTGGGCATGGTCAAGTACAATGTAATGGAATGTAGGACTCACACCTTTGTTATGTGCAAACCGTTGCCATGGGCCTACTTCTCAGTCACTTCACTTCTCACTCATTTTTGCAGACTAGCGTCACCTTGGGCATCTTGGATATGTCCTGCTCGGTCATCGTCTCGAGTTTGATCCGCTTTGCAGGTGGTGGCTCTGTTTTGATCTCTGCTTCTTCCGTCCTGTCCGAGAACAGTGAATGCAGAATAGTCTAGTACTCAGCACTCAGCACTCAGAATAGTTTAATTGACTGTCCACACGAGGGTTTATATAATAACTATAATCCACTTTAAGGAAACATGTTGAGAGAACTGTTGAGAGACTGACACAGCTCCTCTCTTCCATCCAGTACTTCTCAGTGGGATTGAACTCTTTGTTGTGGTCTTCGATGACTTGCTGGGCTCGCTCCTTGGTGGATTCCGTGGCAAGCCATTTCTTGGCATACACCTCCAAGATGTAGAGGGCGTCATGTTGTTGAGCTGAAACTCTATAGGATTTGTGCCGATCAACAACATTCTGGCTGCGAAGAGCAGATAGCACAGGTTCGAAGGCTGGAAATCCAGGAAGGTTGAGTGATTGGGACCGACAACTCTCATAGATTTTGTTCCCAACTCTCTGCAGCATATCTGCGCCTGTGTGGTCAAGACATATAGTCCCGCACACGCTTCTTTTGCCAGAGGCAATGTCCTGCGACGCGCAGTTATGACCACAACCAAGAGTTCAATCCCACTGAGAAGTATTGGATGGAAGAGAGGAGCTGTGTCAGTCTCTCAACATGTTTCCTTACAGTGCGTTACTTAGTACAGTTATCCCCTTGTGTGGACGGACAGTCAAGTAACATTTCAATCCGTGTACTGAGTACCGGGGTCTATCAGGTTGAAGCAGAACTGAAAGCACTGACACAATGACCTAAGAATTTGAGTGAAGGCCTTGATAATCAAACAAAGCGATACAAAGTCAAAACACGGATCGAAGTAAGACAGTTTCCTTCAAGCAATCTTTAGGCCTGGCCAAGACATGGGTTAATTGGGTTAACGCATACTCCCCCTCCTCAACGCAAGACAGGGCAGGGCAGCCATCGTAGCCATGCAAATCCATCATTGCAATCGCTCCCACTGAGGGGACGGAGAAACTCTGCAGCGTCTTTTGGATGAAGTCCGTGCCCCCAGCAACCTGGGGACAAGTTGAAATGGATTGCATGGCCAAACCTAGCAGTGGATGTCACATCGGATTCTCAATTCTATATTGTTCATGTGATTCATGTGTGTGTGGCTGTAGTCTAGTAGTCATCTTAGATGATCAATTGCTGTGGGCGAATGCATGTATAAGTTTGTTCGAAGGAGGAATCCAAAAGTCAAGTATGAAATTAAGCCGGTCAGTTTCTTGATGCTCTCACTCTGGACAAGGCACTTGCCTTTGGTCTTGCACATCGGTGAAAGCACGCCCCAGGTGAGGCACCGACTTTCTTGGGCTCACCTGAAGCGATTGAATCAGCGGGAGGTCTCAGATGGTGTGAAGCTGGAGCCCGTGTAAAGTCGATCCAAGCAAATGAAGCATTTTACAGTAAACATTTTTTTAAAACTAAATCAAGATACGTGGTCTGGCTTTACCATCTCAGAGCGCTGCAGCATCGAAATGCTGTGGACCACCCCGGTCTTGAAGCCGCGCGTTTGACGGAAGATATTCTTGGGGTTGTTGCTCACGACACAGAGCCCTTGAAGAGCTCCCTCTCGCTTTCCGTACACGGACTCCTCGGGTTCACAAGTAGGTCCCCAGATTGAACACAAATGGTTTCCAACATAAATTACAATGTACATGTCAACCGAAAGCAAAGGCAAGTGGCTGGTTCGAAGACGAAGGTCACGTTCTTGACTTTGAGATTGCGCTCAGGCAGCGAAAGGTCATTCCTCAGGATGTTCCGTGTACAAGTCCAACAGCATAATGATGGACTTGTTGAAATCAGATCGTGGGTGCTGGGTTCCAACTAAAACCGCACGGCCAGTAGTTGGATATGACATTAATATTCTTTTGATTTTTGAAGGTGCAATGGATATCTCATGACATGTGAATGGAAGTCATGCGCTTGACGAAGCAATTGTTGTAACATATTGTAACCATGGCTCTCCAGATTGAAGCGAACCCTGCGAACCAAGTCGTCATGTTCACCTCGTTTTGCTTTGCCATCGTCCGAATCGTCATCAGAGCCAGCATCATCATCATCCTCCTTCGTTTTGACTTTGGTTTCCATGTCCTCATCCTCAGCTTCTTTCTTCGCTCCAGGTTTCCTGCGATCAAGGAAGGCCAGCTGTTGGAAAGATCGAGGCAGTCAAGGGGTGGGCCGATCCATGCACTGAACCAATACAGGTCGGACCCAGACGTAGTAACATGATGATAGTCATGATGATTTGGATAAGTGGCCATTATGGAGTTCCAAGATTTGAACCCTTTATATTGCCTGCCCAAGATCGCCAAAGTGCCTAGCAAAAGTTTCACCCATCCCTATAAAGAGAAATTCAGGCTTTGGAGATTGGCTGTTTTCAAATTGTTTGTTACCAAGTCAGTGTTTTTAGAACAACGGTGTTGTGAGGATGACTCTTGCACAAGGTGAGCGCAGACCGTGTCTCCCAACTACACTGACCCCCCCACTCCTGCCATCTGTATGCCCTGCACGATTGGGGTGCACCACAAAGCAAATACTGTTGAGCGGGAAGTCGCTCAGAACGTTCGATATGTAGTTCAGGATGAAGCTCATGCGCCCCGCGCTGATCACACCAAGGGCAGGACAATTCAACCAAAGGATCACTGCATGGTCCTCCGGGAAGTTTCCCATCTCGGTTGTCATCTCGCGAAGCCATGCCCGGCTTGCTGGCATCACAGTAGATTCAGCCTCAGACGATTTCCCGCAAAATTGGGCGAGGTTCTCCTTCATGAAGGCCGAAACACATTCCCAAGCCCTGGTGTGGCACTCCTTCCGTGGGGAGGTAGGCGAAATGTCAACTGATATGGGAATCTCCCCCAACTGATGTGGGAAACTCCCCAACTGATGTTAACAAAAACGATTCACCCTAACTTGATTGTTTCTGCACTGGTATAACTGGTATACAAATTTCGTATTTCCAAAATAGTATATGTTCTATAGTTCCCACACCACCCAGTCCTCAAGCTGCCGAATGATCTTGTTCCTTGCCTTGGCACCCTCCTTTTCCATCCTTGGTGCGATCCGGCATAATTATGTGGGGGAATAATTGAGGCGAACTATATATTATGCAGATCTTTGGTCATGACAGAGAGGATATTGGGGAAAAAACAACATCAAACAAAAAATAGACACAGACAAACAGAAATAAGCAAAGGCTCAACACCTTCTCACTGCTGAATTGGGCTTGGTCGGCTCGCAACTCCTCAACCCAAGCGACAAAAGACGCTTCGAGAGCCTTGGACATAGGATTTCTGCTTTTATCCTGGTGTGAGTGCACATAGGTCTCCATGGTCTTCCCCGTCGCCTCAACGGGCCAACATGGGCCAACGAAAAACGTGGGACGCTTAATTGAAACATGTGGTTCCAATATGATGATTTGGAGTAAGTCAACAAACTTGAGACGAGACCTGACCAACATCAGCCATCATGTTACGGACAAAAAAGTCACATCCGAGAAACTTCAAGGATAAATGGGACACGCCCCCATTCAAACTCCTCACCGCTCTTCATCAAGGTGCTGATGTCGCTATCCAACAGCCTGAAGCAGGCAAACTCATTTGTCAGTAAAATTTTTGTTGAACATATTTGATGGTAGTCCTTTACAACATTGTTAAAGCCTTGGAACAAGGAATCACAGTTTGTCCAGATGTAGCGGTATTTTTGCTTGGGTCATAAACCACTTTAAAATCAATCACATTTTGTGTTCAAAATCTATCTTCAAAATGTGACGGGATTTCTAGAAATCCCTCGATAAAACCCTAGGTTTACCTATATATCAATCAAAGCGGATTCACAAAAAAAAAGCCCCCAATCATGATTGACATGCTGCTTGTATATTAGAATTGCGACGGGATTTCTAGAAATCCCTTGAAGATTTTGAAGTTAAATCCAAGGTCGAAAAGTGATTGGTTTTGAAAGCCAAATGCATTTGGCGGCCAATCACGTCATTTCCAGAAATCCCTCGATTGCTAGCCAAACCCATTTGGCCAATCATCCCCGGCCAAATACATTTGGCGCCCACCAATTTCAGAAAGGCATAAACACATAATAGTAATAAAATGGCAAGGCACCCCTGTTGAAAAAGCTGGTCGTGCTGGGTCAATAGCTCTCCTGGGAAATGCAGTTCCATGTGCTTGCGAAGATACAGCCAGCAGCAAGTCACATCGTGCAGTTCCATTTGTGCTTGTTCCCCCAGCTGCGCCATTTTCTGACAAGGTTTACAAAATCAAATCACAAATAGACTGTCCCTCAAGATCCCTCAAAACCAAAAAGGACATAGAATATAAAAAACTCAAATCCAACTTTAAAACCACCGCTCCTTCGCTTTGGAGGTTGCATCCCTGGGCACCTTGCGGCTGAAGTCCTTGAGGGTTGTTGGTTCAGAAGGTAACCCACTACTGGAGAAAACACTGGATAACCCACGCCAATTAACACAGCATTCTAAAAAGATCCTTTGATACCTAACATGTGTGGCTGGTATCCTGGATCGCCCTGGTGAAGTAGAGCAAGCACGATTGATGCGACGTTGTCAGGATCTTCCTGAAGAGAGCTTTGCCCTTGAACCGATCCAAATCCTGCCTCGAGCTGCAACCTGGCACCCAATAGTCCATTGTCAACACTTCGTGTGGGATTCCTGCTCAGGGCTGAATGGGGACTTTTTAAACATGCGTGATACCATGATTAAACACGTCGTGAAACGCAGGTACACAAAGATTTAGACAGCTTTGCCTGACTGCTCGTGTTTGTATTGATCGTAATGGGCATGGAGCAAGGTAAACAATTCTGGCGGCCCTCGCAACCTAAACCGGACAATGGGTGACAAACAACATTGTGGTAGCATGCGGTAGCATTATGGTGTGGCGCCCCTTTGGTCAAAAAATGTCCATAAAAACTATCATCAACAACTGAGGCACAGGTTGTATATGAGGGAACGCCGGCTGGAATCTATCCGGTGTTTCTTGACCGTTGTCATTTTGTTATAGTCTGCAACGCAGCGAGAGAGCAAGTCTTTCAACGCAGCTTTCGATGATGATCGTGATGCCCGGCGCTCGACAGCAATTGCAGCGTTGATGTCAGCTGCAATGGTAATGGGGCTAGGCGTCAGCTTTTCACTTGTCACATAGCCCAATTCTGGGTAGAAGGATCAAAGGATAACAAAGGACGGGTGAAATCCATTTGGACCGCCTAAAAACGGGTTTGATAAAAGATATTGTCCCTTTAGTTTTGACGGCTTGTTCTTCAAAATGTTCATCGAATGAATGATCAACACCAAATTAATAGATTCCTGTCACTGTAAATTTACTGGATAAGACAAGGAACTGAGGCTGTGGAGAAAATGGTGGGACTCGTTCTCAAAAAATTCAAAGTGGCACCTGATTGAGATGAAGGTGCTCAACACATGGGCAAGTGGGGAGGTCGAAATGTCCGCCTCCGTCAGCTCCAGCTCTGAGCAAAATCCAACGATGGCTAGCATGATCAAGACCTTCGTCTGTCCGTCAACAAACTTGACCGTGTGGACATTGAGGGACCGGTCACCAGCTCCATGGTCAAAGCGAACGTCGACACTTCCCATGCTGGGCTTGTAACCATTCCGGAGAAACTCATAGAAATGGATGTTGAACTGCTGATTGCTAGGATAGACTGCAGGGAGCCGTCAATTGTAAATATCAAACAAACAGATTTAAAACTCGCTTTTAATGTTGAAATCTCTTAGTTGAGGGACAACTTTGATTTTCGACACCCCCCACATCCATTCTTGCCATCAGTGGAGTAGTCAAAATGCTTCAGCGACAGCCAACACTCATCCAGACTGTCATTGGGAATCGAGGTCAGATATGCTCTTCCAAAAGGCACGTCAGCCCTAGACTCGACGTACGTCTCAATTGCCTGAGAATTGAAACTTTAAAATGACCGACTACCACCTGACTTAACACGTGACTTGAGTACTTCTATAAGCTAAGCATTTTCCATACAAGTGTGACCTTGTCCAACTTTGCAGGATCCGCAAATACACTGGCAAGATGTTGTCCCAGATTCTTTTCTGCAATCACCTTAGTCATATTAACGAATGAGAAGGTGAGACGCAAACCTGGCATAAGCTGAGGGCTTGCAGGGTTCCAAAACTTTGAAAACATGAGATGATCCTTGAACATAAACCGAAGGACAGATTCGAAATGGGTCTTCAACTGTAGAATTGGCCCTGAATCTTGTGGATCTCCATCGGCCGACATGGCGTAAGCCAGCAAGCCCAAGAAAAGTCAAGGGGCTAGCTTTTTGAACAAAACAGGCTTATGACATATCGAACGAGGTCTTGAACACAATCTCGATCACCCGTACTATGTTAATCGATATTGAAGAGCTGCATTGCACAAAGATGTTTTCCCCCTCACCCCCGGGAGAAAGTTCACGACCGCCTGTGAAACGTAACTTCCAACCTGTGTGGAATCAAAGCGGATTTGGGAGGACCCAGCTCAAAGTCATGTGGACAAAGGCCTTCATCGGGGATGTTGTCCAGGAAGCTCAGGTGAGTGTAAGGTTCCAAGTTCTCCTCAGGCTTTCTCTCAAGAAGCGATTGATACCAAGCAGCTGCCCTATTCAGCTGTGGAAAGTCCCGCCGAAGTGCAATCATCAGCTTCCTGATCTCAGCCCTCCTCTCGTCTGTGAACTCAGGACGCAACAAAGTTTGGGTGGTGTTGGCAATCCCCAAAAAGTGCTTCGACCGCTGATGCAGCGCAGCCGGCCACACCAACAAAGGTTCTTGGCTCAGTTTCTCATCGGACATCTCGTGCTTCACTAGACAGAATAAGTCCTTGCGAGCTTCTCTTGCATCTGAAGACCTCAAATCCCTGGGCACACGCTCAGACAAGCCCACTCCACGACCTTCCCCGGGCAAACCTAGGAAGGCCAAGGAAGCCGGCTCTATTAAGTCAACAAACACCGATGTAAACAAAGAGTGCTGCAAGAAGAATACAAGGAGAACATTAGTTTTGATACTACACACTTTCCAGGAAACTCCCTCGTGTCGCATAGATGAATGTATGTGGTACCGGCTTGGGATCATTCTCGTTGTCCTTCAGCTTGCGGACCCTCATGGCGTTCTTGAAGGTGACGGAGTCTGGAGCGAGTTCGGCCCAATCCCTTACCTTGATTGATGGCATGTTTGAACTGCATATGGGAGTTAATGGACGGTAATGGAAACTTAGACCCTTGATCTGAAACCTTTGAAAGTTCCAATGTCATGCAAATAAAGTCTAAAGGATTTGTCAAGCTTAGTTGCTTTCCCGACCACTTCCACATCCAAATCGACACCCCGTGCCCGAAAAGTTGTAAAGAGCTTTTCCCGCAGGCAGTTTGCAACGTCTCGGGGTGTTTGTAGGGTCTGAGCTCCATCAATCGCTGACTTGCAAAGGGCTAAAACTCCGTCAACGTCCTCGTGAGTATGTCCAACTTCCAAAAAGTGCTGGCTGGCGGTCCGCCAGACTCCACCCATAGTCAAGGAGCTCAAAATCCTTGCAGCATATGTGTTGCGACATTCTTTGACTGTGTTGTCGCTTTGCAGCCAGAACCTAAAGTAGATCAATGGCTTAACATATAAGATTGACCAGTAGGTTCTAAAATGCTTTAGACAGTGAGAGAAATGCAGGCATTGGGCCAAAAAAGAATCAAAGCTGACTTTGATTAGGAAAGAGGCTCTACGGGCCATTTCTTATTACGAGCTCTCGTTCGCACGAAGACCTTTTGCAACGATCTCATCACCTGCAGCCAATTCAAAGTTGAAGTCAAAGCTTCATAATGAACAACGTCCATAAACCCTTGAAGGACACCCAAAAGTCAAAAATATCTGGTATACAGCCAGACCACACACTCCCACTGCCAGCTGGACCCGCTACTCATAGCTTCGTCGCAGATGTAGAGGTAGCAACCATGCCCGTGCATGATGCAGGCAGTCAATGTCAAAGAGACCCCTCAGGAAGTCAGAATCGATCTAAAGTTAAAAGTCTTAAGCCCAGCAACTAAAAAAACACATCACATAAATCAAATTTTATTAACCATTGAAGCCCAAATTCTTTGGCAAAGCTCATACTCTGTTCGCTTGGGGGTTCTCTTCATTGGGAACGTAGGGATCAACAGCTTGGATTTGTCGTAAGAATCAATAATGGCGCACAATAGATCCCCCTCAGTCTGGCTCCGAGCTCTCGCGGTCCAGTACCGCTGTCTGTTTGCCCATTGGATGTTGTAATGTTGGAGGAGCTCGTCGCATAGTCTTGCATGCCGTTCGAAATCCTAGAATTCCATGGGGAGCCCACGGCATGTGGTCGTTTCATCCGATGATTCGACATGTTTGATCTTGAAACCCGTTTCATGCAACAGACCGGTCCCACCCCTATTGTAGGCCAAGGGTCTTTACAGCCATGAATCAAACTCTTGAGCCTGCTGCATTCAAAGCAAAGCGAATGCTCTGTCTTCCTCCGAGACCTCAGGCATGGTCTCCAGAGCTTCGCCACGTTGTAGAACGTGGATCGTGAGGCCGCTCCTGAGGGGTCTCCTGTGGTTCGGATGTATGCCAAGTACATCAAAAATAGTGAACTTGTGGACCCAGGCGGTAGTTCTCGCAAAGGTAAGGCTTTGATAGAGGACTCCAACATGATTTGCGCTGTTCCCCCCAAAAGCTCTCGGTCAATCAGCTTCCGTAGGAGTTCTTCCCGAAGCTCAGCATCTGTTTTTGACCGGCTTGCTGTTTCAGCCGATTCAAACCTTTGGTTGACAAAAGCAAGAAGCAAAAAGTATGGAGTTCCTTTAACAGCAGAAACAGGGATTCAAAAATGTCATGGGATCCTTTATAAACCTTATCACTTACCTCGTAACCAAGAAGCCTGGTCGGCATTGATTCTGCAGCCGTCCAGTACATGTGTTGAAAGAAGGACATGCAGGATGCTGTTTGCTCCGCTGGAGGGGCTGTTTGTCCTGAATTATGATGGGAGAGCCCTGAATGAAGCAGTATGATACTAAAGATATATGACTTGTACATATCCGAGGTCAAAGTATTTAGTGGATAAACAAAAATATACAAAATACCGGAAACCAAGATTCCCTGATTGATGCTCCTTTCATCTAAACCACGAAACTTGCGCTTTGTACGCGTCAGCCTTGCCTTCCCAACGCCCAGGAACCGCAGCCAGGCTTCGCGGCAGAGTTGGTGCCCTGAAGAGCAGGCATGAGGCAGATGGGGGACCAAGGTGCTTTTTGACCGGAAGGAGTGATGGTGTTTTAACATGTTTTAACTTTCAAAAACTAAGTCCATCCAACCCTCTCCTTCTATACTCCATGTTGCAGATCGTCCACTTTCACACTGCAAGCTCCAAAGAACAGCATCTTGTTGTGACTTTGGTAAACCCCAAAAAACCTTGCAGCATCGGGATAGCACTGCAAAGGGCATTGTGCACTTGCACGGACACGGGGGGCTCCTCAAACATCGTTTGATTCTGTCCAGACATGCCCCATTTTCAGCAAATGTTGACTGATCTGTAGCGCCGTTCAGCTGATGATAGGATTCCAAGTTGCATACCTTCAGGTCCACAGATGATGTTCCAGTCTGGTGGTCGGCATCGTCGTCGGAGTCAGAATCAGAATCCTGATCAGAGTTCCTTAGTGATATTAGTGGGGCTGGCTGCTTGCTGAAACTAGGCTAACAACTAGTGGAAACTTGAAACAATGCATACTTGAAACAGTGGCTTCAAAACTCGAATTGATCCAAGCTCAGTCTAGAAACTCTGAATTTGAATTTGCACATGAATTGGTTTCTGAACTGTCATCATACCGCCATGCCCCAGAACGTTGAGCAGGTTGAACACGACCATCATCATCGGCGTTCCATCGAAACAGGACAGGCATGGGAACCCAAAGATTTCCAGGCTGACTGCATCTAGTCGAAACATATGGTGTTAACAATCTATTTTTGGGGGGTGGTATTGTGTCTTAATCATTCCCTCCGGCGTTTTGGTTATAATCTTTATCCATGAAATGCTAGTGCTTCCCCCGCGCATCAACAGCTAAGACTAAGAGCAGTTCAGAAACTGAGGGAAGCGGGTTAGTTGAACCACTTGAATCAATCAAAGTGCATCAATCAATCAGAATCCTTCATTCACGCTGCGTGTTTCTTTTCCCACATCTAATTGAATTGGACTTCAAATTAGTCCAGGTATGCACGGAGCTTTGCAGGGTTGACGGCTTTCATCAGGATCAGCATCACGACGAAAAGGGCCCGCATGGCCATAGCATTGCCAGTCATTCGGAAGAGGTCCTTTGCATTCGAAACAAGAAGATATGACAAAGTGCTGTTTGAGAGCCTGAAATTTGCCACTTGAACTACCCACTACACCACTGGCAAAGTGTGATGAATGCCATAAAGCATGAAGTCCAAAAGCAACCCAGGTGCTCTGTCTTTGTACCGATCCAACAGCAGGGAATCCACCGGAAGGCCCATCAAAGTCATCGCCTCGATACCTGACCAGGAGCACTTTTGAAGCTGCAGAAATGAGAGGATGAGAGATGCCCTGGCAACACAGCTAGCCTGTCAAGAAGCGTTGTTGGCCAGTTAGAAGAATTGAAGCATTGGGCCTCAAACCATGCCGACTGAGAGGTTTTAGATGGTTCTAGGGGAAGCACATTTTCAGGTGAACATCTTGTTAGCAGCCTGAGGGATGCACGTTAAACACATCAATGGCTTCGAAGGTTTTCCTCTCGGCGGCTTTGGAACGACACTCATCCTACCCAGGGATTGGCTCGTGTTTGCAGCCAAGAATTTTCCATATTGCTTCGCCGTCTTGTCCAAAGCCTTAGTTGTTTCTATTCTATAATATACTTTTGGATCTTTTGGTAACGGTTGCAGTGCAAACTTGCCCATTCATTATGAAACCAAGGGGCATCAAGTTCCCTCGCAGAATTGATTTGTGCTGGAAGTCTAGGATAAAGTCGCCGGAAGCACCCAGAAGACCCTTTGACCTAGAGCCGGGCTCGAAAGACATGTTTTCATGTTTTCCTGGGCCACTGGGGGGCCATGCGAAACATGACAGACAAAAACACAATATGCGCTTGAGAAGCCTTGAATTTCTTTGCCCATGTCCTGTGCTGAAGCTTCCATTTGGGAATCTTCTTCACCTTCTTTGACTTGTTTCGCCTAAGCTAGAAACTTCAGGAGTGAATCAGGACACCGACGTATGAGATACAGTAATTCCTTCCTTCGGGTCATCAGCTTATCAACAAACCAAGTAGCTTCAGCTTGCGTTGGCATCGGCGACGAATAACCTGTTGCACCCTCCAGTGATCTTCAGGCAGCAATAAGTCTTGCCTAAGTTCCCATAGAGGTGTGGATTAGGGGGGATTTCAAATCTCATGAATGACAAGTTCAAGAATGATGGTTGCTCCAAGGTACCAGTCAACTTTGCAGTTTTTTTCAAGAGCTGTTGCCATAGAAGATGCATATGTCTGGAAATCCCGCCGGGCAGCCTTCGTCATCAAATCAGTCCTAGCCATCAAAATCCAAACACGATCGCGAGTGATGGGAGCTCCATAGTTCTTCCTCGGATAAAGCCAGATCACTGATTCCCAAAGTTTTTGAACCAATCATGTTCAAACCACTGCGGTAGAGCTACGCGTCCACCTCCAACACTGCAATTTGGTACCTGGGTGCAGTGGTGGCATGACCTTCCCAACCCAACCACTGTCTCTTGTCTTGTGATTCACGTTGCCAGGGCATTGTTTCACTTTACCAATCTATGATTGGCAAGCCACTCTGGAAGATTCTCTTGCAGGACCTCCAAGAGCTTGTCGAGGACACGGTAGAGTCCACGAACATTTTCAAGTAGCACTGCCTTAATACACATGTCCGGTTTCTTTATATGATTTGGTGCCACCCCAATTCTGAGTCAATCTAATGAACAAATCGGCTCAGGAAATCAGCACGCATCTAAAAGGTTGGACAAGCTACACCTGGACTGGCTTCTTTCACATTTCGAATGCATTGCCACATGGGTTTGGCAGCTTCTTCCTCGAGTAGACGGGTTCCCCAATGCAATAAGGAGTACGGAGTGCAAGGGAAGCCTGCGCAGTACAGGCCCACCTCAGGGCAGGGTGCCAAATATGAACTATGTGTTCCATCAAGACTAATGAAATAAGATCTATCAATCATCAGCAAGATGGTGCCTTGCCTTGCGGTGATTTTGAGAAGAGTCGACATCGAAAACATCAGTGCAGCACCTGAGTGCAAAATGATACTTAGTCAAAAACTACTCTGAGACTTGAAGCTGTGACTCCTCCAAAACTTAAGCAAGATACTGGATAGGGTCTCCATGGTTAAGACGAAGGAAGTCCATTGCGATCTTGTTCTTCTCGGAGCAGCTCCTGAGCAACACGGGTGGACACACCACACAATCCACACACTATATTCTGCATGTTTTGTGGACATATTGACTTATGTTTTGAGTTGAGTTTCATATGCTTCACCAGATGGTCTTTGTTCTTGAAAAGCTTCCGGAGAGCCATCAGCGGAGTGTCCATGCCCGAACCTTCTGCAAAAGTGGGGCTCGGAAAAGGTGCTCGGAGAAGAAACGGGTGGAGTAAAGTGGGCGCAGTGCAGCCAGGGTGCAGTCACTGGCATATCCAAAAGTGCCATTCCAGCGTCGAAGCCACTCATCAAAGCCTCAACTGTTCGATGCAAAGGATGTTGCACCAACTGTTCGATGACTGAAGACAGGAAACCAGCTGCTTTTGCAAATTCATCCTCGCAATGCACATATTGCTGCTGCAAAGGGGTCAGCTCCTGCCAATCAAGAGGATAACTAGTACTAGTGGGAATATCTATGATGTATCCGCTCCTCGTACTCATCATCAGATGATGAGTCCACCTCCCGCCAAACACCCATGGCTGCCACCGTTTTTGATCTTAAATGACAGCGGGCATTCACCTGCAGGCAGACCCAGATGGGTTTTGGATAAGACCCGGTTGCTGTCGCATTTGAATATATATATATATATAACATAATTTTACATATGATGCATATGAATCATGTGAATAACAGATCACTGAATAAAGCATAACCATGAATTAACCTGTAGGCCATTGTATGCGGGTAGGCTGCGGTTTCTTTGCGTTGTTTGTTTTGGTGTTCGTCATCATTGGATGGATACTGCGACAAAACAAACAAATGTTTTTCACCTCTGAGATCAGCCACCTTCGAGCCTTCTGCCCAACTCGGACGAGTGCATCACAGAAGATGTGATAAGATCTGTCGCAAGCAGGTGACGTTGGAACAAAAAAAGAAAACCGAAACGGTGGCAGTTGAATGAACCCAAACACTCCATGTCTGTCATATATGCCGCCGACCCCTCGTATCACCACCCCAATTGATTGGTAAATATACCGATCCCATGGAGTGTTTGGGACCTCTAGTTCCTGTTCGTCTTGCCGAACCGCTTCCTCGAACGGCTGCCGGCTTGACCCGAAGGACCCCGAAGGACCCCGAAGGACCCCGAAGGACCCCGAAGGAATTCGAAGGACTCCGAAGGACCCCGAAGGACCCGAGTGTCCGGCGCTGAGCACGACCTTTGCGAAGACCATATGGCTGTATAAGTCTGTAAGGGTATGTGGGTATGTATGTCTGTATGTCTGTATGAGTATGTAAGACCATATGTCTGTAGGAGCGGTGTCTTGGATACATGGAGATTGGATGAGATTAGGCTGTGGGTCAAGTACCAGGATGCCTTCGTTGACCTACCTGAAAGGATCCTGGTAGGTCAAGCTTGGTGGACGCTCCAGGCGTTCACCCATCGCCATGTAACTTCCGCCATGCCATTGGAACATGTCAACAGAACCCCCTTGGCCTTTCACGCAGCTTCGCTCTTCCGGCTGTGCTCTGACACTGATATTGAGATACCAGGAAGCAATCCATGAAAAATCCAATCACTTCAACCCCAAATCCATCTCGTGACGACATCGTGGGTAAGCGTCGGCACAAACCCCAAGATGTCGTTTTGTTTTGTCGTGGTTCCATGGCACAACCACCAAAGTGGGGGATGGTGCGACCTCCCTCATACTCTGAAAACACTGTAGACTGAACAATTCGACGCAAATGGTGCTCAAATCCAACATGCCTAGGGGTATATGTAGGTGACGAATGTGAGGAACTGCGGGCTGAAGTAATTCAATCAAGCCACGCTTAGGTGGCAAAGGAACGGCAGGTTTCCTGCGACCGAACGCATCCTAGGAAATCGTTTCCGACAAGGCCTGGGCAATCGACCCATTGAAGAAATTATGACCAATTCACTTCACCTCAAGCATGAGAAGCCCAACTCGGCAATCCCAAAAAGACTTGCATGCAGCATGCTGCTGAGCTGCTTCCTTGAGCCTTTGTGGGTCTCCTTCATACTCTTTCTCTGCGCAGACTCACACACACCCCACTGGGGTTGGATTGCTTTCAACGAAATGTGAAACATATCTACCAAGCCTACCAAACCACATGCCGCATGTCCAAATACTCCAAACATCTCCAGACAACATTTTTTTAGTTGACCCCTTGTGACCTTGTGAGTGCTGCCCATGGGCCTGGCCTCCGTGTATTGGGCGGCTGCAGCACTGGTGTCGTCCGCTCAGGGGTGTCGTCTGGGTCGACCTCCGGCAATCATTCATCAACACCCACCTGATGGTTATCCAGTGGCGTTTACGAACACAACAAGTTGCCATGACACTCCACTGCTTGAGACACCGCGAACAGGTGCCAAACAAATTCAGAAGCACAGCTCCGTCATGATTCGTTGATGTTCGTTGTGTCACCGCCCATCTTCTATCCAAATCCATGTCATTCCATGCCCCATAGCACAACAGGCCGTGCACGGAGCCACCTGCACCTTGGGCGGCACAAGCATGCTAGTCACATCCACCTGCTCTTCCACCTGGTCGCCACGAGTTGGCCAAACGTCTGGGAGACGCAAACAGCCTCCAGCATCTCCTAAGAATGCGCCTAAAGATACTGAAACTGTTGGACATCTAGGCTGCGATCCACTCTATCAAGCATACAAGACAAGCTGGTGATTAGGTACTTTAATTCTCCACGTGTCAGTCCAGTCCAAAAAAGCAGTCGCTCAAAAAGCATCGCAAAGGGGCGCCCGGACCCCCCGGACCACCTCCAGCTGTGGCAACGGCTCGGGAGCGGGCCACGCGGGAAGCGGCTGCGGCAAGGCACGCTGCGCCAGAAAGCCACCGCTGACGCTCACCTGCGGCGTGACCGGCGCGGTCGGATCGCTGGTTGGGATGGACCAGCAGGACCAGGAGGACCAGGCGGCACGCGCGTGACACGGCCGATCACGGAATCTGCTGGAATCCCAAGATTGACCATACGACCTTGGGAACGGGACTGGGAGTTCATGTCCTTTTCAGTTCTTCTTCTCTTGTTGACCATTTCGTAAGTTCGATCTTGTGATGAGACGAGGGCTCGGTTTGGAAGGCTCCAATTGGAACGAGCATGAACGAGCGACAAGGTTCCATGTCCAACCAAAATCGTCGGAACTGAGTGTAAACGCCCCTGACCATCCTCCTGATTGGCCTCAATTGGCCTGCTTGGAACAATCCATCAACAGAATCGGTGCTCAAATCGTCACATCATGTGGATTCTTGATGAATCAACCCCCGAGAACTCCGACCACTGATGAAAGCCACGGCTTATGAAGCATGGACAGTAGCCCAATGGACAGTCCAACTGCTTGACACCAACAACATCCACATGAAGGCTACAACAGGGTGCGCCAACAAAAACGTGCTGATGCCTGTTGAAGATTGGTGCATGAAACCAACTGAAATAGGACATGTCCCTTTGCTTATGCATGCTTATGCATTGCGTTGAGTGTTGCAGCGTGGTCTTTGAGAACGGCAAATCTCTCCACATAGAGATAAGCGTGGTCGATCCACTCCAGAAAGGTCACACCTCCGGCATCTGGTACTTCCACTCCTCCTCGCACATCCATGCGTATGAGAGGTACTCGGGAGATGCGCCTGCCATCAAACAAAACATATCAAAACATCAACCAAGACTGCAAACCAATCTAATCTGGCTGGATGCCAAAGTGTCCAGAGTTGAAAAACATCACAAAATGGATAGGACTCCAAAGAATGCCTCAGGAACTCTCAAGTCAAGCCTGCCTCAAAGGCAGCGGCGGTCACCTAAATGATGATCATTGTTCAACTATGAACGGGAAAATGGTCAACCCCCTCCATGTTTGTGGCACAGCCACCCAGTTGTGGTGACACCCACCCCGTCTGCCCCCCTTTGCTTCGATGCCGGCCGTGGCCTTGCTGGGTCGTCCAGTTTCCGTTACTCATTTCGTCGTTACTCGTGGTACTCAGGAGATGCACGATGCTTGGCATTGTGCACTGACGTGGACCAGGGCTGTGCCGGACTCTGCCCCCGGTATCGGACACCAAAGCATGCATGTCCGCTTCATATGCAACATGTCCATTAAAGGACACAGCTTCCGATACTTTCCACAATTGGATTGCTTTCGTTCATATTTGGGGATAAATATTTTCTTGTATGGTCCCAGTTGGTTGAGGTTATCGTTTATTAGGAGTCTGGAAGTGGAAGAGTCTCCAGCCCAGCCCTGAATGGAACTGCCGCATGCCACTGCCAGATTGAGGTCTCACGCCTCATCCGAGGGACATCGGCCCATGCAGAGTAACAACGCAAAACCGATTGAGAAGAATTCCTAATCACTATATGCAAGCAAGCTCCCAATGGAACTGCAATTTTGAGTGGCTCAAAATCTTAAGAAAATACTGCTCACTAAGCAAGCGAAGCTCCAAAGAAATCCGCTCACGCTACCTTGTTGCACATCAAGGTTCATCAAAAAAAGGGAACTGACATGAACTGACTAAATGATATTATAACTAATTACAGTACAACTGTCGTGGAGAAGGGTAAAAGCCAAGCCTAGGCCCACTCCGTCATAGTTCCATAGCATGATAGCAACAAAACAATCTAGCTTAAAAACAAACGACACGAATGCAGCTCAAATCAAGAGTCTGGCATTTGAAGACAAACTTGAGTCTGGAGAAGCCCACTCTGTCGAGGTCACGGTCTCGGTCGGCAAACTTGAAGTCGTCTCTGGTGTTGAACTGATCGAAGAAACACTGGAAGCCGCAGTCTCCGTGGTTGAGCCGCAGTCTCCGAGTCTGTGAAGCTGCGAATGGCCGTTCTCTGTGGCGATTTGCCAGGCATCTGACCAGGCGTTTGTCACAGGTGTCAAGAACAATCAAACTCACATGCTGGGGATCGATGGTCTTGCCGCTCGATTTAATGAGGACTGATCAAGATTCATAGTACATTAGGCACTCCTCCTAACAAAGAACCCTATTTGGCCTCATAGTGATCCACAGGGTGACAACGTCACGAGGTCAAGTCGGTGGCCACCCAAGCTCAACATCCGTTGAAACAAAACACATACTTGGATGATACCAATCTTTAAGTTGCTACGCTTCCCTCCTGCAAGAGCGCGCAAGGATGTGAACTAGGTGGACGACTACAAAGGGTCAGTCCCTGCCTAAGGTGATTGCACCCATGCTGATTACAGGAATAAGAAAGAATTCTCACTTCGCGGTATCCTGAAATCAGGTGGTCATCCTTGGTCATTCTTGGAGCTCTTTGAGTGGAGATATCATTCTGATCTTGACTGCTGACCAGCTGTGGCCACCTCCCGCGCCTGCAAAGCTCCTGAGCCATGCCGCCTCGTCGGCCGCGAAGTCCAACACGGCCGCTGCGGCTGGGCCGGTAGGCCGATCCTCCAATTGAACGATCCCTCAGTAATGCCCAGGAACAAAGTACTTGGTTTGGCATTTCAGCCTCCAGTCCCCCATGGCTACCCAAAAGACATGATAGTGATATGGGTGCGGTTTTATTTGGATAAGGTTTTTGCGTTGCGTTTGGTGATGTTTTTAGCGGTCGTGGTTTCTCTATAGTCCCTCCAGTGGAAGTGGAAAGCTAGCTGTTTGTAGAAGAATAACTATCCAGGAGGCAATGTTCCATGTCCATGATGCTTTCAGGACGTCTAGGGTCTGGGTGCCACAAAAAACAACTGGACTAAACTGCTACTCCAGAAGCCCAGGTCGTGGCCCGAGTAGAGCAAAAACCAAAAACTTTGGCGAACAAACATGAGACAAGTGCATCATCATCGAGAATGGAGTGAAGAACGAAGGAGTTTTGTTTATATGATGCACTTGGGTTGCCCCTTGAGGTGAAACAAAGCACAACCAGCAGAGCCAAAAAACAAACAACAAGAGTAACAAAAGTATAGAAAGCAAGAAAAAGCAAGAACAACACAACACAAACTCAAGGCTTGGAAAGCAACCAAGACAAAGCGATGGTAACAAAGTCAATAGAAAGCAAAAACAAGACAACAATACGCCACAAGAAAACAAGAAGCAGGAAAAGCGATAAATTCAGGAGAAAAGCCAGGAACAGCAAGACAAGGGCAAAAGAAGCAGGAAAAGCCAGAAAAGCAGGATAAATTCTTGGGAAGCAACGAAAAGCAAAGGAAAAGCAAGGAAGAGCAAGACTCAAGCGCAAAAGAAGCAGGAAAAGGACGAAAAGCAGTAGAAATCACAGAGAAGCAATGAAAAGCAAAGGAAAAGCAAGGGTTCAGGTCCCCACGAGGAAGGCAACGATTCTGCACGGACTGGCTGCCAATTGCCCTGTATCAATTGCAACTAGCAACGCCAACAAATGTCAAAAAAAAGGTGATTGGTCCAAGTCCGTCCACAAGTCAATAGTTCAATATGGAATCCACAATCTTGCTACAAACAATATATATTGAGGAACATAACATCACTCCGCATTCCTGTCCTTGTCGCCGCAGTCATTGCGTGTTGCTTGTCTCCCGCAGCATTGGTCACGGTCCCCTCGACCTGGCGGGGAAACAGGCCGTCTTAGGATCTGTGCCTCTCGTCTCAACATGTCTCAACTAGGTCGGGTTTGGAATGGTTTTGGCTCTGTGGGTCGACCCACATCCGCCATCACCATGTGCCCGTGCACTGGAAACATCCTGCGGCCGCCCGGGCCCCCCACACCTCGGATCACGTTGCCGCCACAGTACTCGTTGCCGTTGTTGCGGACCGCGCCGTCGATCGTCCGGGCCGAAAGCCAAGCGCAACAGTTGTGCTCGTGCGCGCGGACGGGGCCGCCGTTGCCGCCACCTTCACCTGAATGCCCGGCAAGCCCTGATGGGGTGGTGGTCTGGGTGCTCTGGGTCACTGGTTGCTATGAGGCATACTATGAGACATATAGCCTTGAACAAACAACGACACAAATGACTCAGCGCCTCTCGTCTTGTGGGGGAAAAAGTGAACAAGTATGGCCCAAGAATACCAGGCCACTGAATGCCAAACAAAGGTCGGTATTCAACATCATCTCATGTCCGGCAACGCTGGTGTCTCTGCCAATGTCGCTTCGCTCCCACTGATTTTTGGCGGAATTCCCATTAATGGCAAGCTCTGGAAGCCAGCCCTTGGCAAGCAAGGAGACATAGTAGTTGTTGTTGAATTTTCTGGAATTCTCGGGATCACTCCACCAGCCATGGTATCCGGAGTTCTGCACCTGTTCAGCGCGTCTTCGGCTTTCAGGGTGACAACGGCTTCAACGGCTTGAAAAGGGAACTGAAGATTTCGGTTCCATGCTGTTCTTTGGGCAGCCCCAAGAAGAAAACAGTACACGGAAGTCGTGATTCCTTCCATGATCACCTCTTGCCACTGGCTGGGACAGCAGCGTCACCCACTAGACCCCATCCCCTGATCACTGGGACATGCTGGGACCATCGTCCCCACGAGCCGGTTGGATCCGATGCCCAAGAGCAGCCAAAGGAGCAAAAGCCCAAACAAACAATTTCCTCTTACTTGCGCCAACAGCATCTCGCTTGTGACTAGTGATCCATTCCTAATTGGCAACTTCAGCTGCCCATCGGGTGGTCAGCACAGAAATCTGGGACCATCCAAACAAAAACAAACAGAACAACGCGCCCTGCTTCCCAGACTATATGTTCTTGCCACGGGCATAACAAACCGCCCGCAAACTCGCCGGTCTCTCAATATGGACGATGACACCGAATTCGACTGACAATACACAGTCTCTCGTCGAGTCGAACTATATGGCATACTATGGCGCTGGATCAAGAACACCGTCCCCTTCCACCCAGTCTTAACCACACGCACATCCATTCTGCCGACAAAGAATGGTGGGTGCGCCTGCGCACGTCCCAAGGTGTGCACACCCATGAGTGCTGCTGCTTGGGTCCAAGTGAGGCCCATCCTCGTCACGAAGGTCTCTTCCACCGCCGTGCAGCCCCGCTCTGGATCCGGCAACCGGCCTACGGCGAAGTCGCAGGAGCTGGCGGTCCTGAAGAGGAAACGGGGCGTCCTGGACGCACCGAATCAAACCATCAGACTGGCAGAGACACAACGGGATAGAGCAGGGGTCCAAGATGTTTGGATATTTTGTTCGTTGGCCCTTGCAACCCTATGTTA